TTTTTTTTTTTTTTTTTTTTTTTTTTTTTTTTTTTGGTTTTTTTTTTTTTTTTTTTAGGGCTTGAGGGCCTAATGCTGCTCTCTTTAAGTTCTTTAATAAGTGGTTTGGTTCATCTTATCCTCTTAAAAAGAGGATGGATGTACTTGATTTCCAGTGGGAATTTTCTTGGTAGGCTGATGTAGCTAATTAAAAATAACCTCCTTGGTCACTGGTGACCTTGATGGCAGTCTCAGTATTTGGAGCGTGTGTCTGAAGTGTGAGGCTGACGTGGGGTGGGAATGGGAGGGTAGAATAAATTTCCAGGAATAAAAATGTAAGAGTGCCCAGATAAATAGCTGCCATTACTAGTAAAGAGACTCTGGGTTCAAGGTTAATTTTGTAACTTATTAATGACTTGTACCCGGCCGTTCTACTAGGCACCGTGCAAATGCCAGGCTGGGCAGAGCCCCAAAGGGCTGGCAGCTGGCCTAGGTTCGAATGTAGAGTTGTTTTCTTATGAAAAGGAATAATGCAATCATCTCCTTCAGTTTTCAGTCTTAAGCGCTTAGGCTATGTTCTTGACTCTTCCCTTGCCCCAAAGTTTGTGTGGTGGATGGTCCTAAAAACAAATACATGCGAAGTCCAGTGGTTAGTTCTCCATTTGACAGTAGCAAAGGAGGTGGAAGAGCAGCGAGACAGCTGTGAGATGCACCCAGGTTTGGGAGGGTTCACGTCGATTCTGGATTTGGAAAGGAAGATGTGGGTCAAGCACTCCAGAGGGCATCTGTCTGCTGTCTCTGCTGTGGAAGAGCGAGCTGACAGGCTCCAGGCATTGTGGCTGCGGGAGCCTTCATTTCTGAAGTCTCCTGGTTGCCACAGCTTGTTTAGATGTGACTTCTTTTTGCCTTTTTTTCTTTCCTTGATGAAGTAGGGAAAAAAAAAACAACTTTGTGATCTTAAGATGGGGAGGGAATTGTTTGCAGCATCAAAAGTTACCTGCAGTCTTTGGGAAAAAACACGAATTTACTGAAAACTGGTGTATTTTTTCATGAACTTGTGCTGGTTTTTATCCCCACTTACTTTCCAGCCAGCCTTGGAAGCCTATGTCCGTTTTCTCTCTGTTTTTTCCTCTTTGCTTGCCATTTACATAATCCTGCTTTTGACTCTTGCTTTGAAGTCACTTTCTTGTTCATGCCCACTTCTAGCAAAGTACATAAACAAGCAGTACCTGATCACGTGCTGTTTGGCTGCCCGGTGATCAGGTAGTGCCCCTGTGGGCTTGACTTCAATGAGAAGTCACCAGGAGAAGAGGATGGGGAGTGCCTGTGTTTCACTCTTTCTCTGATAAGACTCTTAAAATTGTCAGGGTTCATTGGCTTCTGGAGGTGACTTTAATCATTAACTAACTCCTTTATGCTGCTGCATAAAGTGTGTGCAGGTGGTGTGAAGGAAGGTAAGGCTTTGACTTGGTAGTTTCTCTAGCTCCTGTTTATCTCTATGTCAGAGCTCATACAAGGGTTCGTTTGCCTCATCATTGCTAAGGACAGAGAATTTTCCTGATGGGGCAGTTGAGAGCCAGAGCTCTGTTAGATGGCTCCAAGCACTCCACTCTCCAGAGCCAGCTTTTCAAGTGGGCAAAGCCACAGCCTTCTGCCCTAGGCAGTGCTACCTATTCAGCCTCTCCGACTCCTTACATTCAGGATCCAGAGCAAAGTGTGCTCTGAGGATTTCTCTGTGTGATGCAAATGGTGACTTCTGGGCCCCTCCTGCTTTTCTGCATCTTGCTTTCAAGAGCAGGATAGTTGTCCTATGTACTCCCTCCTGGTGTTTTTATTCATCTCTCCTTTTCATGTCCATTCTTTACTCGGGACAGGGATTTGGACGGATAGATGATGTCCCACATGCAGTGCCATCTTGCTGCTCTGCCACAAAACAGGTAAAGGAAAGGAGGGGCTGAAGGACAGGGAAAGTCAGTGCTTTGCACGCTCTGTGCACTGCCAGTGGAGAGTTCAGTGGCATGACTTCTGTAGGGACAGCTTTGTAAGCAAGCCAGCTGGTTGCTGGGGCTGAAGGGAGTCTGTCAGATCAGTAACATGCTTAGCGCCTCAAGAAGGTTGTACGAAGTTGTGTGAGCCACCAGAGTTTAGACAGCAGCTAACAGTCTGACTTTTGGCTCTTTCTCCTGTCCCCTGGCTGGTGTGAGCTCCCTCTGTGTTCCTTCTTGAGAGCTAGCTGGAGATGGAGAGGATCTCTTGCTGCTGTAGGCACTACATGACACACCAGTAACTTCCATCTGCCCAAGATCTTCAGGGCTGTTGCAGCTGCCATGCCTTTTTGGGCCCCGCTTGTCGTATATGTGGGCTCCAGCTGTTCTGTCCTTTGTACCCTTTCCTCCAAAGTGTTGGGAAAAAAAAAAAAAAGTAGCTCCAAGATTGGCATACCAGCTGTGGGCCCTGTAGCATGGCTGTAAGACCTGACCTTCCTCCTGCTTGGCTCTCCAGCAGGAGCTGAGCTGCAGCCCCAAGAGAAGTGGTTGGCGGGTGCCTGCCAGCCCCTTCTGTCCCTGCTCTACTGGGCATTGCCTGGAGGAGTTTGGGGTTGCTTCTCCCAAAGGGACCCCAAAATTGAGTCAGGGTGTTCTTCCCTCTTTTTTAAAAAAAAAAAAAAATGTGTAGGGGAAGTTCTTCTTATGCCACGTAAAAGCCACATTGCATACTTGGGGCTGTGGCACTGGTGTGTAGATGGCCGCAGTGATTACTTAGTGAGCCTGTCAGACATCAGGCTTTACCCTTTCCAGGGGACAGGACTGTGTGTGTTTGAGTGTGTATATTTTGGGCCTTGTTCTGTGCAAGCTGATGCTTGCATGACTGCTGATGGGAGTAAGGACAGAAGGGTTTGGCCTCCTCCCTGCACGGCCTCTACATGCAGTCAGAACAAGTGACTAACTACATTGAGATGTTCTTCTGGCTAAAGGCAGCATCTTTTTCAGTAGCAAGCTGCCCATAAGAACGTGGCGAGGAACACCATGCATGTGTGAGGATGTAAAAGGGAAAAAGGTTGGCAATCTTGACAAGAGGAATTAATTTCCCTCCCAGCACAATTGTCAAAGAGCAGCATGGTATCACAGATTAGAGCTCCTGCTGGGCTTCTCCTGTAAGGATTATCTCCAGCCTCCCTGGATTTGACTAGCTTGATTAACCTCATCACAGATTTACAATCTGCTGCTTTTTCAAAATGCTACATGCAGCCATGGTGTTTTGGGGTTACAGTGTTGGGAGAGTTTGTTTTGCCTGTGCATCAGGAGATGGTAGATTTCAGTTTGATTAGAAAAGAATGTTATTGTGGACTTCGAGATGGGAAAGTTGCATCTGCTCTTTACAGATGCCTAGTGCACGCTCTGGATGTGCAATTGCACAGCAATATGTGTTTATGTATGAATCTGTGTTTTGGGCAAGAATTCCTGGGTATGAGAAAGGAGGTTTGGCACTGGCGTGAATCCCTGCTCCCACCTTAAGAAGTGCCAGCATGTTCTCAGTCTATCCCAGTGTGCTGTCAAAGCTTTTGACAATTCCTCCTTGCTGTGGCTCACCCCTGCTGCTCTTCTGAGGCTATGGCAATGCTGCAGCCTGCGGTGTGGGACTTGGGAGACCTTGACGGAGTGTTTTAGGCTGAGCTAGCTGGTACAGCGAGTTCAAGCACCAACATCTGCCCAGGATCCTGGACAGTTTGCATAGCCTCCATGGATGTCTGTGCTGCTGTGACTTGCCGCTGTTGGCCCTCAAGCCAGCAATGTCAAAGCTGGCACAAGACGTGTGTCCAAATGCAGTCCATGCCCCTGGGTTGCAGTGAAGGCACTGAGCGTAGTCCTAGTTTTTGAATTCTCCGGGGAAGGGCAAATCTGTTGAATGTGGACTAACACAATGGATTGAGCTCACTGAGGTAAGGGTGCTCTTCATCCATACACTTTCTCTCCTCAGGAAAGAAAGCAGTGATGGATTCCAGCCCATTCCTGTCGGAGGCCAATGCAGAAAGAATTGTGAGAACCTTGTGCAAGGTCCGGGGAGCGGCGCTGAAGCTGGGTCAGATGTTAAGCATTCAGGGTAAGTAGTAGCATAAGTCCTCAGCTGTCTTCCTTAGCAGTGCTGCCAGGTGGAGCAGTTGATTTCTTGTGATACATGGTCAGCTGTCTGGAATCAGTGTCAAGTGAATGTGGAAGGAGTAGACAAGAGGCTTTCTCATGTGAGAGCAGTGATGGAGGTATGTTTGATTCAGTTCAGTCTAATCCCAATATGAAATAACTAGATGTGTGCACTATATACCACCACTTTCCCAACGCCCCTATTGAGTCAGGCACAGAAGTGAAGTTTACTGAAAATAAGGTGATGCTCTCTGTGAATTTTAATGCCTGTGTTAAAAGCAGTCATTGAGAAGCAGAGCTATATCACATTCTGTACGCATGCGTCCTGCTAGAAAGGAGGAGGACGATGACAAGAACATGATCCTGTTCTTTGTTCACCGAAAGTGGTCAAGGTTATATCCAAAGTCCTCTCCCGTTACAGCATGTTTATGGTTTATATGCTTTGTTGGCACTGAAGCTTTGCTGGAAAGGCCAGTACAGCTGATAATCTTATCAGGTATAAAACACTTGTTTTCATCTTGAGGAGACTTCAAACTGGTACTTACTCCATCAGGCTCTGAAGTCAGTGATCACAGGTGAAGGCGTGAGTGACATCAGTGTCTGCACTGAACTGTTAGGTTACTCCTGGAAGATAGCAGGTGTGCTGAATTCAAACCTTATCTGGACCTGTCCACTTTGCCTTCCTGCCCAACTTGATAGGGAAGGAAAGAACCAGCCAAAGATAGCTGTTACACTTGTCTGGAAATAGCTTTCAAGATGTCACTGAAACTGAGTCAGTGTCTGAGTGTTTGAAGTACTTGGCTTGCTTGGCTTGTGCTTCTACTTGAATTTTCATAGGTGTTGACTGATGAGGCTGGATCTAGCGTTGTATTAAATAACTTGAGCTAGCCAATAAAGCAAGACCAGCTTTCTGTTCCAGAGAGTCCTGATTGTGGCATTTCATTGTTCTTCATTTGCTAATCACTTGTTTTAGGTGCGTGCCAGGCTGATGGCAACATTCACAAAGCTAGGTGGGAGGCAGCAGCTGTTATGTCAACCCATATGCTGTTTTCTCACCCTCTAGAAATTGCCAGGTGCCAGTGACTGGTGGTTCACAGTGCAGATCCAGGAGGAGCTCTTGTGCTTCTTGCTTTCTGTGGCTGGTGCCTCTAGTATGTGGGGTGAGTGAGCCATGTCTGGAAATCAGCTCTGAAGTTAACGTGTCTACCATAGGTGGGGATTAATTTCAAATTCTTAAGACACTATTGAATTGCACCTGATGTGTCCCCAGAGCCTGGTCACAGCTGCCCTAGGCTTGGATGTGGGTGAAGAGGGAATAGCTATGAAAGGCCAGCTCTGAGGAGCAGAAATACTCTGGATTTTTGTCACGTGCCTGCTGTCTCCTAATGTTACTGAGCTCTGGCAGGAGTGTCAAACACTTGCTGACTGACTTCACTTGGGTGTCAAGAACATACAGGCCTTTAGCAACCTCAGTGGCGCTGCCCAGCCCTCATTTGACTCTTGTGACGAGTGTGTGGAGTGCTGCGATGCTGGCAGGGACATAGGCCCCTGGTAACCTTGCTGAGGGACAGTTGTGGTGACATAAGTTAGACACTTCCAACAGTGCGGAGTATCGGGTTCTTGGGCTGGCTGTTTGGACAGGAGGGCTTCACACAGTTCTTGCCATGTCATGGGCTTCTCTGTGGCCTGGTGAGTTTGAATTGCCTTCTGTTAACAGGGATGTGTGCTAATTGAGCACAGAGGCTCTGTGTTGCCTTGTCCAGGTGCAGCTGAGCACCTGTGAGCTAAACCACCCAGAAGTTACAAAGCAATGTCCTTAAAAACCCTGATGTCTGCTTCTGGGGGTCAGTGGATTTGTCAAGGACCCACGTCCCTGCAGGTCATGCACAGAAAGGATGCCCAGAATCACCCCGTGTTCTGGTGTGTGTGCTCTGGAAGACATTGGAAAGGCAGCTGCATTTGCCAGCTGAGAGCGCTCTGCCTTAACTCTTGCTTTGTGTTTCGTTCCAGTAAGGCCTCATCAGTTTACCACAAAGACGTATAGCCTTGTTCATCAGCATGTTGTAAGCCTCATTTTGTCAGAGTTGCCTCTGCAGCATGACTGATTTTAATGTTGCTGCTGAGTTTCTCTACAGTCAATCTGGACTTGCAGGTTTCTTGGCTAGTCGCTGTTGCGCTAATGAACAAAGCAGTGGTGGTCAAGCGGCCCCAGTTAAGAATGCCCTCTCAGACTAAAGGTTGAAATACCTTGTGAGTTTTTTGGATGTCAGCAAGAAGCACAACAACAGAAGTTGATCCTGAATGCCTGTGGCAGACCCTGATATCTTGACACAAGCGGCTTCTAGAAGCAGGAGTCACTTTTAGTGAGGTCTGTTCTCTTTCTGCACGGTCACCCTAGGAGGTGCAGGTTATCACGTTACAGCGTGATGGCTAATACTTTCACATACCCCTGAGAATAGTTTTTATGATGTTCAGAGGCTTGGCAGTGATACCAAGGGATACACCACTGATGATAGAGCAGAATTTTCTTTCAGTGGTTGGAATGTGCCCACAAATGCAATGTCTAGCCTTCTTGCAGGGTTATAACGTCACAACAGAAGTTTTACTCACTGTTCCTGCAAAGCCTGTTGATTTCTGACTTGCAGTGACAGAATGGAAGCTCCTCTTAAAAACTCCTGTTGATTCTATAGTGGGGTTTTGTTAGTACTTTTAAATGCTGCTCATGGCTTTGGGAATTTCTAAACAACGCTGAGTGTTAATGCCATGTGTCTGCATTTTTCTTGCAACTCCCTTCCACCCCTCTTCCCGGGACAGTGCTCTTAAGGTAGCCGTTTGTTTCTTGTTTCCTGGGATAGACTTACGGTTGTACGTGCATCTGTAAATGGAGAGGAATGAGATTTTTATTTGCATGTCACAAGCGCATGTGCAGGTTGAGTTCTCGAGATTAAGGCTGGTAGCCTGGACTTTTTTCCAGTGTTGGGAGAGCAGCAGATAAATCTTAATTCCTCCATAAGCCTCCCTAAGAAGCAAAAGCCTCTGTGCTGTGCGGAGCTGCCTGCTGCTGTTGACAGTGCTGCTGGACAAAGCCAGGGAGCACTATGACAACTGATGCTTAATTCCGAAGTATAAAAAGTTTCTTAGCATGCTTCCTAGCATATTCATACTTTGTCTTTCCCTTGGTAATTGGGAGAAACTTTCTCCTGCTGCGGCAGGAGGGTAGCTTAGGAGATGTTTAGGTAATATGTAGGTTTTTTGCAAGAGTGAAAAGGAAGGAGTAGCTTTTTCCCTTCATTTTGCTACTTGTACACAGGACTCTTGGCTCATTTCTAAAGGTGTGATGCCTCAGGAGATGCGCCTCAGTGCTACTTCTGGGTATGGAGAGTTTCTGAACTAGAATTATTTCCAAAACCTTCAGTGGGGTGTGCTTGGGGGCAGGATGACCTGGCTTATCTGAATGCAGGTGCATGTTTCTTTGTGGGCTGAAGAACAACTGGAGAACGCAGTGCCTGCACTGACTGCCATGTGCTTTTCCCTTGGCAGATGATGCCTTCATCAACCCCCATCTCCAGAGGATTTTTGAGCGTGTGCGTCAGAGTGCTGACTTCATGCCGATAAAGCAGATGACGGTGAGAAATATTCCTTCCTACTTATCAGGGGAGGAGGGACAATAACAGAATAAATGTCACCTCTGACATACCCCAGTAGGGGAGGTGGATGGGGATTTTTAAGAGTATTCTTTCAATAAATGTTGTGTATTTTCAGTTGTGGGTAACATCTGATTCCTTATCTCAACTGTGTGCTGCCTTTTCTCTCCAAAACATTGAAGCTCAGCTCTAGACAGAGGAGAAAAACACGGGGGTTTTTTATATCCCGAGACTATGCTGATGGAACTGGATGTTGTACACTAATATGATTATAGGGTCTTGTTGAATGTAGCCTCCTCTTCTGTTTCCTCTCTGTCTTTCTCATGGGTATTAAGCCAGTGTCTAGAAGTGCCTACATCCCATTTTAGAAACAGACTTAGAAGCCTTAGTCTGATGGAAAATTAAGAGCAACTTTGTCCTTATCTTTTTGGCTAAATCTAACCCACCATCAAGAAAAGCCAGAATGAAGCAAACTAAGTTTGTTTTCTCCTATGTGCATGTTCTCTCTTTGTTTCTACTTCCCTCTGTAAATTAAGGTGTGAAGGGTGATGCAAAAGGAATTGACAGCACTACTTATCTTCTGAAAGACACTGAGCAGAGCCAGAACTTAAATACGGCAGTCTGGCAACGTAGCAAAAAAGCTATTAAAGCAGGCTGTGATGTTTAATTGTCAATATTGCCTTAAAGAGAGTCCCTCTTGCATGCCTGGGTTGCTTCTGTTCAGTTTGGCAGCATGATGAAAGAGGAGAAATATCTAACTCCTTGCTCGTTTTCTGGAAGAGAACAAGTGGCACCAAAAAGGGGACTTTTGTATTGCTAAGGCAGCGGTGTTTGTGCTCAAGATCTCTGTCCTTTAGGCCAGAGGAACAGAGCCTCACACAGATCTGATCAGCATCTGTTTAATGCTGGGGGAGCACTGCTGGCTAGACCACTCCTCGCGATGGTGTGCACTGAGGAGGAAGGGAGGACAATCTAGAAAGCAGGCTATAGGTACATAGAACTACTATAGGCTGTGTGAGTCACCTTAGAGGAACGTGATTTCCAATAGCAAAAAATCTTAAATCTTGCTTCCCATACCCTAATGCTTTCCCTTTATTTGTAGAAAACTCTGAACAATGATCTTGGCCCCAACTGGAGGGATAAACTGGAGTCCTTTGAAGAACGCCCCTTTGCTGCTGCTTCAATTGGTCAGGTTCACCTGGCACGCTTGAAAAATGGGACAGAAGTTGCCATGAAAATCCAGGTGGGCTTTACAGACCAGCCTTGTCTTTTGTCTGTGCCCGATAGAAGGGCATGGGAACTGCATAAGTATATTTACTGCTAGACAAATAAGAAACATTTTAATGCAAGTGAAAGTTTTTGGATCCAGCAATGTCTTACCTAGTGCAAGCAGAAGGGAGGGACAGAAAAGGTTCTGCAGCTTGAGCCAGTCTCTGACTCCAGATGAGCAGGAGACGTCTCATAGGTATCTCACTGCAGCATAGGGATAATGGTGGTGAGGGACTGCTTGTAGTTTTGGGGCTGTGTGTGAGGGCCCTACCTGCTCCATAGGTCAGTCCCCTCTCTGGGATGTGCACGTGCCACGTGCCCTTTTCTGGCCACAGCCCAAAGGTTAAAGAAGTTTTAGGTGACAAGCAGGCACTGACTGAGGAGTGCCAGTCTGATGATGCAGGAGGGTATTCACTAATTCGCACTAAAGCTGTCAGCAACTTCAAGCAGATATTTCTAACAGAATTGTGTTCTGGAGCTGAAACCCCTTGTACAACATGGTTTATAATCCAAAGGATTGAGATCCTTTACTGACTGAGCAGGGTCGAAGGCAAAGTTGGTCATCTGGTTGGTGCTTTTTGTAACGTGGGGAGATTTTAGAAACAGTATGGATGGGTAGTGGTGTCTTCTTCTTAAGCCATTTGTGTCCAAAGTACTCTCTGAGGTTAGGTCAAGGTAAAAGCAATGGAGAGTTAACCCTGTGGCATCAGCACACATTCTGCTCCACAGCAGTGTAGGCAGGTCCCCTTCTTGACAGGCAAGGTGAGAAAGAACAGGAGGAGGCACCTTTGCCAGGACTGGGCTGGGGCCTCACTGCTTGCCCTACTGCAGTGGATGAAACACTGGGGCTGTCAGTGGCATGTCCTTTCAGCTGTGGTGGGGAAATGACTGACTGCCATCTCTGTTGTGAGATTTGTGTGTCTGAGAACCTTTCATGTGTTGGAAGAGTCCTTGTCAGAGGACCTGAACCGGCCATTCTGGTTGCAAGGAGCTGCATCTTAGCCTCTCTGTCCCTCATTTTAGATGCTGGGCTTTAAATAAGCTTTTAGAGGAGGGATGTGTGGCTCAGGTATGTCCTGGTTCATTGCCAGGCTGTAGGTGGCTGTGTTGTGAGGGTCAGTGGATGTTGTGCTGGAAGGCATTTTTCCCTTATTCTGTACAACCGGGTCATCTAGTCTCAACACTGCCCTCTCCTATTCTGTCCTGCAGTACCCCGGAGTCGCCCAGAGCATCAACAGTGATGTTAACAACCTGATGACTGTCCTGAGCATGAGCAATATTCTCCCTGAAGGTAAAAAGACAGAGACCCTTGGCAGGCCCTGTGTTCCTGCTGGTGCAGGTTGAGTTCTGCCAATCGCTTTCAAGAAGCGCATTGCATGCTGCTCTCCATAGACCAGAGGGAAGAAACCGCCTCAAGAAAATAGTGAAAAGGACTTAAGAATGGATAAGTCTGCCCAGGAGCAGATCTCCTGCAGAAAGCAGGAGAGGTAGTGAATGTGGGCAGTGGGTGCAGGGCCAATTTGGGGAGCCATGCTCTGCTCTCCTGTTGCAGAGCTGCCACTGCCTTTACTGGGCACGTGCCTGCTCGTGTCCACTCCGTGGGGTGGGAGTTGGTTTTTCCTGGCCATGTATGTGCACGTGCCTGCCAGACTAATGTGCGCTTGTCTCTGGGTGCTCTTTATAGTGAAGGACCCATAGGGACTCCTGGCAAAGTATAAAGTGTCTGGGTATACTCACTTTTGATGGCTTTCTAGGCGTGAAGTGTGGGCAGTGTTCAGGTTAGGTAGTCTTGCTTTGTCCGTGTTATTTTCTGTTACATTGGGCAGAACTAATTTTTTCTCCATGTTTCCTGTAGCTCTTCCCAGTCATTCTCTGCTCTTCCCAGTCATTCTCTGCTCTTCCCAGTCAGAATTATGGAGAGGTGGAGAACTGTCAGACTTGGAGCTTACTCAGTATCCCAGCACATGGAGAAGTCCCTTTTCCCACAGGGAATGCAGGACTTACTACTCCTTTTTTTTCAAATACCTGCCTGCAGCAGCTGTAAATCTTAGTGAGGCTGTACAAATACTGCTTTAAAATCAGGCTGGGTGCTGACAAAACTTGGGACTGTTCTCTGTGGTGGCTGGGCAGGGCCCTGCAGAGGCTGCTGCAGTCCCAGCTGTCTCTGGCCCAAGAAGTAGACTGGTTTTCCAGCTCCAAGATTGAGAAGATGGGACTTGGCAACTCAGGCCGTGGCTACGTGCTGCTGCAGTTCACTCTTAGTCATGCTGGCTGTTTCTGCCTAGCAGTGCTTGCTCCCAGTTGTAGCCAGATATGGTTTGGAGCCTTTTTTGCCGCTTTTGCCCAGGCTAGCGTTTGGGTGCTTCTGCTCCTTGGTGCATGTCTCTGCACAGCCATGCCAATACCAGGAACAGAGAGCTTGGCCTGTGGGGTGGGAGCTGGGGGAAGGACAGAGCCCTGCTGTGCAAGAACGATGTGGATGTACCTTGCCTTAGGAGCAGCTGCATAGCCTTGGCCCGGGATTACCCGCAGATCCTGTATCTAGTTGGAAATATGTTTTGGCCCTCTGAGGCCTATTGTACTTTCCATCTCAGAGTTGTCTGGATAGCAGGTTGCTCCTCAGCTGCAGCTCTGGAAAGCTTAGCCTGAGGGGCTCCTTTTTTCTAAGTCTACTCTCTTCTCTGCTGTTTGACTTTCAGGTTTGTTCCCTGAGCATTTGATTGAAGTCCTGAGCAGAGAGCTGGCCCTGGAGTGTGACTACGAGAGAGAAGCTGCCTGCGCAAGGAAATTCCAGTATGTTCACACCATTGCGTTCAAACCCTCCCGCCTCCGTACGTGTGTGTGAAACGCGGGAGAGGTTGCTTAACTTCAGGGGCAGCGGGGAGATGAATGCCGTGCCCTGGGACGTAGCACAGGGGAAGGGTGTGTGTTTGTGGCCTGAGCTGTCCCCTAGAATTACCACCTTGTCTCAGCCAGGCCTATTTTCAGTCAGCTGAAATGTGATAGCATATCCTCTCTCCTTCAGCGCGAGCCTGTCTGTTTTACCACATGTCAAGGTACTGCAGTAACTCTTGAGTCCAGGTTGCAGTGCTGTTCTGTGTACTCTTCACGTTACCCTGTTGTAAGCTTCTCCCATCCTTTAGTCTCGGAGGTTTTTCAGTTCAGCTCTCTTACAGCAATTAACACCACCAGCACTGCCTGCTCCCTTGGCTTGCTGTAGCAGTGGGGTCCAGGTTGTTTTTACACAAAGGCTGGATGAGGGAGAGCTGCCAGAGGCTGGATGTCCCTCCTGTCCCTCTGCAGAACTGCCCCTGTGGCATTGCTCCCCTTGGAAAAGGCCTGTTTCTTCCATGTGTGTAGTCTGGCCCTGAAGTGAAGTGGGGTGAGCAAAAAAGCCCGGTGACCCTTGATGTACCAGCCTGGAGCTCTCCTAATATCACTGCTCTGGCAGGAGATGTGACCTCAGGAGCTGGCAGCAGCTGTAAGTCATCAGCATGGTGTCTGGTGACTTGATCCCTACTGTAACTGCTGAGGAAAATGTCTCCTGGCAGCCTCAGCCAGGCTATGGGGAGAGGTTGCGTGAGGGGGCTGGCCGTGTGCTGTGCGAGGTGTTGCAGAGGGGCCCGGCTGCTCTCAGGGCTCCTAACCTTTTCTTGTCCTTTCTCTGTCCCCTAGGGAGCTGCTGAAAGACCATCCCTTCTTTTACGTCCCAAGAGTAGTGGATGAGCTGTGCAGCAAGCATGTCCTGACCACAGAGCTGGTGTCTGGCTTCCCCTTGGATCAAGCTGTAGGGCTGAGCCAGGAGATTCGAAATGAGGTACTGTGGGGTGGTCGTCCTTCTCCCCTCGCTCAGAGCAGCGTGCTCAGCCTGCCCGGTGACCGATGGATCAGGGGATGCTTTGTGGAAGGGCAAACCCTGAGCAGTGCAAAGCAGGGCTGGAGTCAGGGACTGTCTGGAGCCTCTCGGAAGATTTCTGGGTAGGGAATTTGGCAGTGACGCTGGAGTCTCCTCAGGCTGGTCTAGGCCTTGCAGGTGGCAGCATTCAGTGTGGAGGGGTTGGAGGGGTGAATGGCAAGGGTGGCTGAAGGGGAGGTAGCCTAGCTGGGTAACTTCTAGATGTCCCGTTTCACTCTCAGATGGCCTTAGATTGGGAGGGATTGTCAGCTAGGGGAAGATGGGTCTTGTTTTGCAGCTGCTCTTTTGGGCAGCAGTGCAGAATCATCTCCTGCCCTTGTGCGAGTGTTCGGGTGTCGTCTTCTCCTGTGGGACTGACCTGTGCTGCATGGGGCTGCTGGAAAAGTACCTCTCGGTAAACAGGAGGGGGGATGTGGGCATGGGTAGGTGGCAGTGCTGAATATAGCAAGGGATTGGAGTGCTGTGGTGGGACAAGCAGCTGCTCTAGTAGCAGAAATAACTGTCCTGGTTTTTAGATTTTTTTTTTTTTTTTTGTCTTGGTGTGAGCTGTCAGCTGTTAGCAGGTCACTGGGCAAGAGGGCAGAGTATGTTCCTCTAGATAAACAGATCTCAGCACCATACTGGACTTGAAGCCATGCCAGAGCTGGCTGCTGTCACCCCTGAGCTGTCTGTTCTTAGGGCCTGTTCCCTCCGATGAGCTGCTGTATCATCAGGGCTGCTTTTAAAAGGCTGTGAATTGGGGTGTTGCTGCAGGAGCAGCCCTTCTTTCCTCTAAGCGACTGGCCTGGCTGACCCATAGCCTTCTGACCCAAATGGCAGTGCCCTGTAGCAGGGTCTGGCTTGCATTTGATGCTCTCCTCCCTCCCTCTTGGATATGATGTTTCCATTCAGCTTTGCAGAAGCTGAAGAGGGGCAGAATGAGGCTGGCAGTTCTTCTGCTGAACAGTCTCCAGCTTAAATATCCTCGCAGAAAAGCTCTGCTACTCTTGCTTCCCCCATGCCTGTCAGTCCCAAGGTGTGGGTCTGCTGTTCCTCCCTCAAGCTGGGTCAGTGCTGAGCCCAGCAGAAGACTTGGCTGAGGAATACATGGTGGGTGTGCGTATCTAGTGAAGACCCCTTTCAGTAATGGTTTGGACCTAGCTCTGTACATTGTGGCAGCTTTACAGGAAGAGATTCTCCTCTTTAGCTTCTTCAGGCCTTTAACTTAAAATGCCCTGGAACCACATCTCATTTCCCCTGAGCTGCCTTGGCTTCATTTTGGCCAGGGTCCTGTAGGACTTCCCACCAGGATAGGCTGTAATGCTCTACTGGTCTCCCCCACCTCTGCTTCTGGATCCCTGTTCACACTGTGAAGATGTTTCTTTGCTCTCAAAGCAACAACCAAGTGCGTAGTCAAAGCTGGGAAGGCAAAAGGCAGGACCAGGACACAAGTAACACATGCAGTTGGACAACCCCTGGAGCCTACTGTTCTCTGCTGCCAGATACAGGGTAGCAGCCTCTCTGGAGGCACATGCAAGTGCTGACATGAACTACAGCTCAGGGTGATGTAAAACTTGCATGGCATCTGTGCTGTCTGCTAAGGATGTCCCATGGCAGGCGTGGGCTGGGAATTGTGGAGAGGTGCTCTCCCACCTCTTCAGGAGTTTTGCAGCATGGAGCAGGTAGTTGCTACTAGTGTGGTGATATGTTCCCCGTTTGCTAATGCCTGCTGTAAATTACATGTGTGAGTAGGGCTTGCTGCCCTCCTGACTTGCTTCTTTCTTTCCTTGCTTTTCAAGATCTGTCACAACATCCTGGTCCTGTGTCTGCGGGAGCTGTTTGAGTTCAGGTACATGCAGACTGACCCAAACTGGTCAAACTTCTTCTACGACCCACAGTTGCACAAGGTAAGCCCAAGCAGCCACTGTTCTGCCTGTACAAGAGCTGTTTTTTACCAGCTTTTGATTATTCCCTGCTCCCAGAATTGAACGAGCCCTTACTGACATTCTCTGATTCCTGTCCTTGAGCCTTGGGCAGGTAGGACAGCTGAAGCTTGTCCCTTTGCCACTTGTCCTCACTTGGTCTGGGGTGAGAGAGCAGGGCTCCTGTAACCCTGGCTGCCTGCCTGCCTTTGGCCTTCGATCCAGGCACAGCTACTTCCTTAGCCTCACGGTCTGTTTTGATCTGTTTGTGGGATGCTGCAGCTGGCAGTGCTCTGTCAGCGTGCTCCTGAACCAAGGACTCTCCAGTTGAATGCTCTTGTCTTGTGCTGTGCTGAAGATAAGGGTGCCCGGGGAAGCAATTGCAGACGTCCTGCTTGTTGGTTTGGCTGCTTGCTTGTGCCCCGCAGGTCAGATGGAATTGCTTGCTCATCCCTGAGGTCTTTGTTGGAAAGTGCTAGGAAAAGGTTCTGTGCTGCTCTGTCCCCATACAGAAAGCCTGAGCGGAGTTATCAGCTGAGCAGTGTAAGCATAAGCCATACCTCCTCTGCCATGCACTAGTGCAAATGTTTGTGCTGCTGTTGGGAAATAAAGGAGTTAGGGGGAAGCTGAGCTGCAGTGGAAAGGCTCTCCAGCCAGCTGAGCTTCCTGAAGACATCAGGAGCCTTCTTCAAGTCTGGCTCTACTTGAGTGGTTGACACTGTAATACAGATGGGTTTGTCCATTTCCAGGTGGCCCTGCTGGACTTTGGAGCAACACGAGGGTTTGATGAGAAGTTCACAGATGTCTACATAGAGGTGAGGACTTGCACTGTGTCCTAGCGTGCTGCACTGGGGGTCTTGAAGTCTTTGCAAAATTCTGCTTATCTGTTAGCTGTATCACTTTGTACCTGAGTCCCCTCTGGGAGCAGAGGGAAGCAGGGCTGGAGGCAAGAGAGAGAGCTCTTCCTGTTTCATCCCTTACCACAGCCTTCTGCATGTCTGCTGCAAGCCTCTGGCTGTCTGAGTTCAGATATTTAAATTGCATGACAAATGTGGAGAACTGTAATGTTGCTTACTGGGAGCCTCAGGCAGCAGAGCATATCGGAGTACTCAGTTCGGCGATTTTTATATGAGGGTACGCAGGAATTGCTTGTCCTGTTCCCCGTCTCTTCCTGTGATTTCTAGCTTGCTTACAGGCTTATAAATTTATGTGAAGTCCTATGTGCTTCCTTTGTGATCACCATGTTCTGCACTTGATAAACTGAGCTGCGGGGGCCAGCAGCTGTCACCTAAAGCTTCTCACAGCTGGCTCTATTGTTTTGTTGGGGGAGGGGCTGATAGATTCATCAAGCTTTTTTGATGTCCCTTGCATTCTCTGGGCTATGTGTAGCCCTGCTGGGAAGAGCTTTGGAGAGCCAGCAGCTCTGTCTTCTTGCCAGATAGCTCTTAAACTGGCCAACATGCAAACCCCTGCAGATGATGGCAGAGGCAAGGAAGCAAGCGGGCAGCATGTGTACCTGCAGCCTATGTAGTAGTCCCGTACTCAAAATGTTTTTCAGTCATCCCCTAGCTCTCCTGAAAGTGTTCCTCCTATTCAGGTAATCAAGGCAGCTGCTGACATGGACAGAGACAGAGTACTGAAGAAGTCAATTGAAATGAAATTCCTCACTGGCTATGAAGTCAAGGTATGGAGCAGAAGGGTCTGCTTTTAGTGGTTGCTAGTGATAAGTTTGTTGCGGGTCTGTAGACTTCCCCAGATTTCTTGATGTGGTAAAAGCCAATGTCAGTCTGAAAGCCCTGTTGATAAGGATGAGGGAGGAGGGCAAAAAAGGTTTTGGCTTTTGTTCTCTTACTTCCTTTTGGGAGCAGGAGCAGTAATGACGATACAGCTAGCCCCAAAACCACTGTCCTTCCTTCTCCCCCCCAGCAAGAGCCTGCAGGTGGTGGTGACTGCTGAAATTTCACAACTGGGCAGATGGTCTTCTGGAAGGTTCAGTTGCTTGAAACTCTATTAACCAAATGTTCATCAGTCTTGCTGGGGGCTGGAGGTTAGCTTTGTTGTGGGTACAGCTAGGTATTTCTCCTGAGCTGCTGCTGTTAGCGCTAGCATTTCTCCTTTTCCTCCCTGGTGGTTAAAATGGCTAGTGATGTTACTTATGCCTCTTTCCTTTTGGGCAGGAAATGGAAGATGCCCACTTAAATGCTGTCCTCATCCTGGGAGAGGCTTTTGCGTCCGAGGAACCTTTTGATTTCGGCAGCCAAAGCACCACTGAAAAGATCCATGCTTTAATCCCAGTCATGCTGAAGCATCGACTTGTCCCTCCGCCAGAGGAGACCTACTCTCTTCATCGGAAGATGGGGGGTTCTTTCCTTATCTGCACCAAACTGAAGGCCAAAATTCCCTGCAAAAACATGTTCCAAGAGGCATATAGCAAATATTGGAGCAGTAGGGGCAAAAAGCCAGAGGAGTAGTAAGAATGAACTAACATGTCTTGTTCTGAGGGCACAGTTCATCTGAGCCTTGCAGAGAGCGTTCTAGCCTCCCATGCGTTGCACCCCAGCCCTCCATCCTTTTGAGATGCAGCAGCCTGTGCCCTGGAAGCCACGTGTGCGTTTCACAAGGACAAAGCTCTTCTTTCATGCTGTGTCTGTCCTACACTGACTGCCAGTACAGTCTGCAGCTTGCGGGAAACTATCTTCTTGAGTGCTTCTGTACTGTTGAAAGGCACCAGCTGACTGCCTTGAATGCATTTTTAACGTTGTGATGGTGGCTGCATATTGATTGGGTTTTATAACGAGAAGGGGAAGGAGGACAAGAGCAGAATTTAATATTGAAACCCGTTTGTAACTCTCCAAAAATTGTTTTTTAAAAACCTTCCCTCTCTCACGCTAAGGTGGAATTCAAGTAGTTTTCATACTGTGAATTATAGAATGAAATACCAAGGTGTACTTTGTAAGTCAAGTGGTGGCAGTCTAAGAACCCTCCTGGATTTTACTGACATTGATGTAATGCAAGGGGTGTGTGTTTGTACATAGGATGAAGTTTTATGCTTTCTGCCTCTTTTTGGCTTGCAAGCTAAACATAGGAAATATTTTAAAAATCTGAGAATTAAGTGCCAATCTCTTTTAAACACACACGTACACTCACACAACCCATCTCAGTTTTGGGAGTCAAATATGTAATCAACAGAGCTATATCTGAGCACAAATAGTGGGATTCTTCACTGTCTGGTAGGTATCAGCTTTCCTGAGGGCGAGTTAGATAGATAAGATACAACTCTGACACCAATTGCTTGCTGGAGTCCTAACCAAGAACCTAGTCTGTCTGTCTCTCTGTCTTCCTGTAATGCAGAACTTACGGCAAGTCAGACAAACACGTAATGTCTCTCATGAGCATTTCAAGCTTTTGCTGAAATGTCACACATGTAAAACCAGACGCACAGTTTTAAACTATTGGAGTCAAGCTAGGAAATTTACTTTCTTAGATTTTTGTACAAATCCTATACCTGTACGACTTCCTGATTTCAATAAAAAAGTGCTTGTGCGGTGGGCCTTCTGCCTGCAGTCTTTTCATCTTCTGGTGTGGTAATGAACAGCCAAGTGATCCATGTCCTGTTCTGTGGGATAAACAGGAGTTGAGCAGAAGGAGAAGCTTCCAGGTCTCCTCTTGTTGCAGTTGTTGTTTGCTCAAAGAATCGCTACTACCCTTATAAAGCCATCTATCTGTGGCCTGTTTGTTCCTTCATCTTTCCATTGCAGCTGTGTCACTAGTGCTACCAGCGATGGTGACAAGTTTACCAGGAGCCAGAGGCACATCAGCCTGAACATCTGTATGGCCATGAAAATCCCTGGTAATCGACTTGTTTTCTTGTTTTTTCCTTTGTTTTAATCACTCTGTTACCAGTCTCCTGGACACAGGTCTTTTTGCCTTTCCTCCACTTGTGAAGAAAGAGTGGGAGTTGATGCTTACCTGGTGCTAGTAAGGCAGATGTCCTTATCTGGCAAATGCCAGATATTTAGCAGCAGGCTCAGCTGGTCCTATTCGGTTAACACAGCCCAGCCCAGGAATGTGGAGGTTGTATGATCTTAAACGTCAGGACCTAAGAAATCCTGACTGCTGACACTTGCAGAGGTAAAGAACAGGTAAGTGAATAAACGGTCTCTCTCAGGAGGGACCTTTGGGAAATAGGAAAACAGGTTATGGTATTACCTTTATTCCCAGATCATAAACATATAAACGGCTTCATTTAAGACTTGGTTGAGAAAGAGCCAGTACTGTTTAATTCAACTAAAAGTACTTATCAAGTTATTCCTAACCCTTTGAGAAGAGTGAACTCTGCTGTTCAGTGAAGTAATAGTTTTGCATTAAGCTGTTTAACTTTGTACACTGATAGAGTAACTTCCCTTGTTGTTCTGGGTTCTGATAGATGTTGTTTAGTTTTTCTCCTTTGGATCTAGACCTTGCAGCTGTAAAAACAGTGCAATTGTTTGAGATGTTAAATGGTTATGTTAAAGGTTAAAAAGCAAAGTATAAAAAGCTGACAAGGGAATTGGGTTAGGTGAGCTTCAGACCAAAATTCCTGAAACTGAAGATTAGGAGCCAGTCTGTTCAGAAAACTTCAAAGGCAGCAAAATATCTCAAAAAGAGCATTACAGTTCACTTTTCCAGTGAGCACAACTAGGTCAGAGTGGTGCGTGCTTGTTCATCTGACCACAGATCTTTTGTATACCATGCTGGGGGCATGAGTGTTGTTTAACTCTCAGCAAACATTTCCCTTCCCTAGATGACAGCGTGTTTAAGAATAACATCAAGCTGAACAATGGACTTGTTTTGCATTTGCCTAAAGGGTAGCAACTAGCAGAAGGTAAGAAAGATGTTTCTTTATTAGGAGAGCTAATGAGAGCTCTCAGTCCCTAATTCTCCTGGCCTTCTGTGCATGTTCTAAAAGCGTTAATAATTCCTGTAGTTTTGCCCAGAGAGATTTGTGACATGAGGAATTGCATGTCAGTGTAACAGCTGTGGAGAAAAGGTGAGCCAGAAACACTGTGCTCTGGCTTCAAGCCAAAGAAGTCATGACATTTTACAGTGAGCAAGAGGACTTGATCACTGCTGCTTGCTCTGCCAGCTAGTGCATTTGCTTGAGCTAAACACATAGGTTGGATATGAACATTTCTCTGCTGCAGCAAGCTTCTAAGTTCTAGAAGAATCCTCTTGCAGAAAACAGTTCTTTGTTCCACAGGGCAAGTGGGAGGTTAAATCTCCTTTCTGAAGACAGGGATTTTCCATTCTAAAGAATCCAGATTCAGGCTATATGTGGTAGCAGTGATTTTCCTGCCTTCTTTAGTCAACCTGGCTGCTGCATCAAAACAGAAAATGACTGCTGAGGAGCTGAACAGGAAGCCTAACATGCAGTTTACTTTCTGCTTTTCTAATGTCCAAATCCCTTGACAATAGAAGGCCCATTTCCCAAGACCTTCACAGCTGTGATGGTGCAACTGGAACCCTGGGAAGTCAGAAATATATTGCTGATTGTAAAAGTCAGAGCACAGGAAACATGGTATTTCACAGAGCTACAGCAGCTAGGAGACACTTGCAGTGGCCTAAATGGGATGAGCCCACAGGCTTAAATCCACATAAGCTAGAGTGCAAGGCTGAGAAAGTAGTAATTTTGACTGAAGGAGAGGGACAGGATCAGAAGTTTCTGTGGAGTAAGGTAGCCTGTGGCCATGTAAGAAGTGGGAAGCATGCTGACCGTTCCTGGAGGGGACTGCTGATGGACTTTGGTAACAGGAGAATGCCCAGGCTGGCACCTGCTGGCAACGGAGGATCAGTAACAGCATAGTCCTGTATTCCTGCTTGGGTGGGGAGTGTGTGTGTGATTGAAGCACGTAATCAAAGCTAGGACTTTTACCACAAGGGTAATGAATGAAGAGGACGATGTCCCAACAGCCTCTGGTATGGAGAAACTGGTGTGAGGAACTGGTGGATGATGTGAAAGGGTCAGGGCACGTGCAAAACTTCACAGGTATTTTGAGATGCACTTAAAGATGCATGACAGTCAATTTGATGATGGTACCTCAGAAATAAGTAAGAATCCAGTCACTAAGACTACAGCAGCTGAAACATTTCCTGTGTAACTAAATGAAGGAGGAACATCAGAAACAATGACTACAAATATTAACACAGAACCGATGACCCAAGAAAAAGGTCAGAAAAACTGCAGTTGAAGAAGTTCAATATACCAAAGTATAAGGTGGCTTGACTTTGAATTTTCAAAAAGGTTCTGGTAATTTTTTCTGAAGGCTTAGAGCTAAATCGATTTTTCTCATATATTCCTTTTCTTCCCACTGTGTACTTGTGCAGATATGTTACAACATGCTGGTTTTATCTTCAAGAACACCATTACTGCCCTTTCCATTTCCTCCTCAAAGCTTAAGATGAGGAGGTAGGAAAAAAAGACAAAACATCTGCATTTCTAACAGTTCCCTGTTTTATTGCAGTACATCAAAGTAGGTTAATATTAAGTGTGTTACCAACATAAAATATTGGTGGTAAGTCATTTTTACATTGTTGACTCTTCCACCTTAAATATTTCTGTGCAAAAGAATCTACATCATTGTTCTGTAGCAGAGAATCTCTTACAATGTCCCCTACAACATTGAGGGCATTAAACAAAATAGTGAGAAGAGGCAAAAAGCAGAATCTTTCCCCCACACGCACACTTGTCAGCTTTTATACTCTAAAACAAAAAAGTGATTACATCTATGCCATGCAAAACTGTACAATAATATTACAATGAAAGAACCTAAAAAAAAAAAACCAAAAACATTTTAAAAATAAATGATATGAAACTGTCATACATAAAAAGGCAGGTATAATTGCTCTGAAATACCAACACTGGTTTGTTTGTGGATTTCTTCCCTGTGGATGAGACTTTCTTAAATGCAGAATGAAAACAGGTTGTACTGAGCTGCAGCTGGAATGAAGGACAAAGTCGAGGTGGAATTTAGCCTGGAAAGCCTGCAGCAGAGCAGTTTCTGGGGGTGTTTATCAAATACAGTGCGAACACAAAGCACACGGAAGGGTGCAGGTTGTGTTAGTGCAGAAAGTTGTCCCATTTCTTCCATGGAACTGACTCCTATTAACAAAAAAAAAAAACAACCCACAGCAGAAGCTACTATGTGCCACTTCGATTCTCAGAGGAGGTGTGGGTACTTGCACTGCAATAAATTTTACCCTTAATGTATTCATTTAAAATTAAACAGCGTGCATAAAATGGAAAAAAAACCCCAAAACTTCTTACACCCAAGAGCATGTTTGTCCTGTCATTCAGGGTCTGGCCATGCAAGACAATATAGTACCAGAATCTGTTTCTGCGTTAATACGCCAACTGTTTTGTTTTGAAAGGCTGACACGCTCTGTGAACCAGTTAGATGCGATAAAACTACATTTCTATAAATACACTATGCTTTTTGGACTTTTTTGGTATGACAAGACCCTTAACTTCCCTCTGCTGTGTACCTGAGAATAACACACCTGGCTTGTAATTTTATCAGAATCAAATCAAAGAGAGAACATTCCTGACTCAGTTTTGAAACTCGTTAAAATGAGCAAAATGCACATTCATAACAAGCCACAGCAACTAACTGAGAGGAAAAGAAGCAACTACTTTACCACAGCCTCAGGAATGTTTTTTTGAAACCACCAGCTGTCTTCTACAGGTTAAAGGCAATAGAGAAGAGAGTACTATAACCCTGCTTTTGGGGTTATGAAATGTGGAAGGAAGCCATGTATCTGTGTGCGCACACGTGCAGGAGAAAACTATTTACCAAACCTTTTTCATTCTATAACCTGGAATCCTTAGTAGCTGCCTGAATCTGTTCAGATCCTTTGTTGCCATCAAAAGAGAGAAAAAAAGAAATGCAAAAACCCAACAACCCATATGTTTAAGCAGTGTCAAAAATGCAAACACCTTCAGTCTCAGCCAAAAGGAAAAAATCAGCTAGATAGATACATACTGTGTACAGAGAACATGTGCTACAATCAAAAATGCGATGGGAGATTTCAAGCTCCCTGAACAAAATGCAGCCTTCTAACTGTGAAGTTGAAGCGATGCTACAGTGCAAAGTAGCAAACATCAAACCTTAAGAGACAACTGTCTTTGAGATACCAGTCAAGAGTCTTACAGTTCAAATGACCAAGTTACTTTTCCTAGCCCAATGAGTATTTAAAAAGCTCAGCTACAGTATGCATGTGTTTTCAGTGTTCATACCAACAAAAAAAAGATGTGTGGTTTAAAACTGAGTGTATAATCAAATGGTCCCCAAATATATAAAACTATTCAAGTCCTAGGACAATTTTTCTCTTTTCAAATAAGTAAGTGATGTGGTCATTTGCTTTTCAACTGAGAGAACAGTTGCTGCTTCTCTTTTGAACAGATGCGTATAAAAATGCACAGTACCAAACTAATGATTAAATATAGTAATCCTAAAGGAGACTGCCAAGGCTTAGAAATTGTGGTGTACAAAGAGTGTAGGCCTGTGGAGCTCTCATCCTCTGGAGGTTAGTTTTGAAACACAGCTGACCTACGCTCTGCCTGAAAATGTCAGGTTTTGATATCAATAGATTGCAGGCACCGTAACGGAGTAAACATAGGGGTTTACTCGATTTAATTGTTTGCTGTGTTGTGGCTCTTTGGGTTCCATTCTCGGATAGAGCATTAGCTCAACTGCAAAAAAAAATCCACAAAAAAGATCCCGTGACCCTCTCTCAGGGGACTGTCACGCAGGCTGCTCTATCTTAAATGACTGCCATTTAAATGCCTTCTCTCAACATCAAAATAAGATTAATGTTTAAATACAACATACAGTAAATACAAAACTAGTCTGCAAATGCTTTGAAAAGTGTGTGGACGTGCTTCACCAAAAGGAGGGAATTGTGGGGAAAAAGCAGTGGCTATACTTGAAGCAATATGCAGCCTTTAAAAAAGAAGCTGATGTGGAATTTTAATAATGCCAATAACGCCCTGCCTATCTGTCCCTCAGAAAGACTGAAAACTATTCTGGGAGGAATTAATTTCAAGTGCTTAGCTGTTTGCTAAAGCTTTTAATATGAAATGCCAGGCTTGCAAAAGTAGCAGCTTTGAAGTGAAAACAAACACCACAACCAGCTCGCTACTCTGAAAAACCCAAACAGGAGAGAGACAGGCTTTTGATATGACGGTTTCTAAAAAAATTCTTGAATTCCTGTCCCAAAATAACATTGAACGAGCTTAAACTCGCACAAGCCTCTTGATTCAGAGTGAAAGAGAAATCTTACCTAGGAGACCCAGCATGATTAAATGGATTAAATTATCTGTGTCTCATTCCCTATTTCCCATTTAGATCATACCTGGAAATTACTGTACATGGTTTGACCTTACCTATAACTTCTATTAGGGAAGACAGAAACTGGACAACTCCAAACATCTCTGTGTGGGTGGAACACTGTATACTGCTGACTGCAAGAATATGGAATGGTTTAATAAGAGCCATAACAAGTTTCCGAAACCCACAAAAGACAGTATTCTAAATACAAAAAGCCCTTACGTGTTTGAGTATGGTCATTGTATAAAGCCAGCAACAATACTACTGAGAAGAGAGGCTCATTTGAACACGCTCCCAAATGAAAAACACATCTGCCTTGCTAACCAAAGAGAAGAGACATCTTCCTCTTACCATCTATTTGTACATCAGTCTCTCACTTTATTCTGTTGACTGCATGACCAGCTTCAGCTTTTTATTTATTTTTGCAACTTCAGTGGGCTCTGTCTTCCACCGCAGTACTTTCTGCCCTCCAACCTGACCTGCTGTTGGAACCGAACAGCAGGTGAGCACATACAAACAACTGCAAATTGCACAAACCCACAGCACGGGTGGGGAGGGAGAGGAAAACCAACCTTGCCAGCATGGCAGTTGTGGGTGACTAGGCATCTTCGACTACCACAGTGTGAACAGTGTGAGGTCAGTCTTCAAGGTTCTTCGTTGCTACAGTGGCAGCATAGCCAGCCACGGCTAGCTTCAGGCTAAGGGCACTCATTTGGCTGATGTGCATTAGCAACTAGTATTTGGTAACAACAGTAACAGTTTTCTGGTTAGGCATGGTCAAGGAGATGTGGAAGACTGCTCCCTTCAGAGTTAACCCTGCTCAAAGGCTGACCCAGGGAAACAGTTTTCCTGCT